ACTGATCGAAAACGTTCAATTTTCCGAACGGCAACGTTTTCAGTCTTCCAAAATTACTACAGGCCAATTTTATTTTCTGATGATTCCGCACAGCCGGTTCTTCGTTGCAGAGACAAACTGTTCCACAAGACATAGTTCTGCAACTCCTCAAGCCAAAGTCCGTTGAGTTCAATAGGTTGCTGGTCCTTGGTTAACCATATGCCGCGTCTTCTTCAGAACCATTTTCCGTCTACGATGACGCTAGCATCGTTCAGCTATTGCATTCTTCCTTGAGGTTCTTCTGGCGACCTTGACAGGATCAAAATACCTGCGCGAACTGCAGGTGACTGCAGGTCAGCAGTGACGATCAATTGTTTAATGCTGATCATTCCAATACGGTGTCTTGAAAGCCACTTGCATGACTGCCATAAATAACTTGCGCGATACTGTATCACCCTGTCAATTTTCACCTAGCTACCTAGCCTGTGTTCGTGCAGGTTCACACAAATAGCTGAATTCTTGCAAATAATGGCGATGACCCATCAGCACGTTTTGTCAATCTCTTAACTCTTCAAGCAGTCGAACAAGAACTTGGCCAGACTGAGCCGAAAGCAGCGCTGAAATGCACGAACTCAAAGCACAACGAAAACCGATATTCGTAGTACTGTTAATATATTCAATATATCATATGTATATTCGTTGCGGCAACACGACTGCGCGCTGACATTAACCATCGGTGTTTTCAAACAGGTTTACGCCCAGGTGTCACGGCACGCTGTTAAACGGATGCAAATTCTGCTGATATCGGCATTTTCGTTTCAGTCCTGATTATTAGTTTATTCGATAATCAGTGGCAAGGACTGGACGTCCGACACCGCCTACCTTGTTTAACATGATAAAATACAGTAAACATATCAGGATGATCATGTTTACCGAACATTTCGGCCGATGTCATACAAACCTTCTAAACATGAAATGTACATATCATACGGCTGTTTTTCTGACGTTTTGCATAACAAATTGCTAGATAGCCCGTGTTCTGCTATGTTTGCGATATCACGTATAGATTAAGAATTAATTTTTATAAGCTAAGTAAAAGAAGAATCGCGAAAGCAGTTCGCTGCTGGTAAATAATTTTCTCGAAAACGTTTACTGATAACATCGAACCCTCGTTCGCCACTCCTCCTGAATATGGGATTTATAAGCAACTCATCTGACTATTGCCGAATCTATGCAATATTAAGGTCCCTAGCAGTCGTTTTACAGTTCCTATCGGGTTTGCTGTTTGACAGGCTCCTGCTGAAGAAATTAACGGGAAGATTACGATTCTTGTTGTTCCGGACATCCTTAAATCAACTTTGCGAAATCGTTTATTACAAGCGCTGGAAAGCTATACTTGTGGCTCCACGATCAATGAAAATTCGATCACGTACTTGTGACACGCAGGATACGTGGCACTCTCCGTAATACCAACAGGAAAAGTGCAAAAAATGGCAGATAAAGCCAATATCAGGAAGAAAAGTTAGGATCTCTGCTTTAACTTGACGGAGACTAAGGTGGCGGTATCTATCAATTACGGTTATGCTCTCCTTCGCCAATCTGTATTTCTTGAGAATCAGAAAAGGACATAAACGATTTATAACTTTTTTTGCATAAAAGTCTAAGCTTATCTTGCTTAAACTGAACATGTGGTGTAAACGGTAGGAGTTGTGAGGTCCAATCGCTAGATGAAACCGCGTTTCAACCTTTGGCATATATGCGCGTTTTGCACTTACTTCGTTTCGCCGGCTGACGAATAACTGATCCAGAAGAAACCCTTGTTCTCTTTAGCAGCTGAGAGTTTGCCGGTGTATGCGAACGACAGCAAATAACTGCGGTTCGGCAGCATCGCCTGTCCAACGTAGAACGTGACTGTTTCGTACTCGGAAATCGTCTTGAACGGTACAGCTTGAAACGGAACATTTCGCCTCGTCTGTTCCTCTGTCAATACCAGCGTTTCTCTTTTGATCACTAGGTCTTTCAGGTTCATGGTCACTTGGTCGGTTGGCCGAGTCGTACGCAAGGAGACGGTTAGCGACGCGTTGAACGTGAAGCAGGCGGGGTCACCAGTCGGCGTTAGCGGTGGTAGGTATGGTTGGATGACGAGGTGGTAAGAATTTGGAAGCACGGTCCTGGGTAAGCGCCAACTGGCCGGCGAGGGCTTCGTTGTTGCTGAGGTTGTTTCTGCCAGCCGCGTACTCGACTTGTACTCAGGTGAGGTGGGGTCCACGGTCGTTGTGATTTCTTCTTGATGAGTTCCGTAGTAGACACCGAGTCCAATTACTAAGAAACAGGCGACAATGACAGCCGATGCGACAATGATGCTCCACAGGGGGACGAAAACTCCTCGCTTCGCCTCGGGTACTATTTCCATTTTGCTGCTCCTTCCAATCGTCTCTGATCCGAACTATAGAGAGATCTGCGAAGCTAATCGGTGGCCACCGGTTGATGGCTCGCTCAAAGCTTCCAGAAATAAAACGTTAATTTTACTTGCTACTACTGATTAGAGACCTACTGATAGCCGATATCAGTGTTCAACTTTCGGACAACTTTAAAGTTTCGCAGTTGCCCGTCGCTGGGACTCCCTTTTTGACAGCAACGCCAAACTTTGGTTGTATTTCCTTATCTGCTGACAACTATGCGACTTGGTTCTCAAAAAAAGCTGTGCTTGTTGTAGGAATCACAAAAAAAACACTTGTTTATCACGGTTGTATCGAAACCTGATTTCGACGTTATTATTTCAGCCGATGGTCGCACGAATTATTTGAACAGATGGCCGGTTCCGAAAAAAACAACCCACGCGAACCAGTATTGGCCAGAGGTAGCAGAAACGCTATTTTAAACTTAATTAAACCGGAATACGAACACAGTTACTTCGAACTATTAATAATGAGATGAATCAGCGTTTAGGAATTTAGGAATTGCTGCGCTGCATTACATATATCTTGCAACCTAATACAGCAGGCACAGCGGGGGTGGAGCCAAATAACTCTCGCACAACGTAAACATGGTTCGTATTACCGGTGAAAGATTTCCGGAATGTACGCATGTTCGCTTCCATGAATATACTATCCACTTAACGTTTGCGTATGTGTAAAATGAGCAACAAAAAGTAAATTAATTTACGGCTGAATGAAGAAATTTTTACCGTTTCCAATTTGTCTCCTTCGAGGTTTTATGATTTAACTCAGCAGACCGACATGATTTCATTGGACTACATAGTTCAGAAGGCAATAGCAACTAATTGACAATTAATTACGGTTTGCAATTACGTGGTGACGTTTGTTTTTTAAGCATGTGAAAAAACATCAAGATACATTTGGTTAGATAACTTTTAGGAATGGATATAACTGGACTTTGTTCTATTTCGTTCGTCGATTTATTACCTCGTTTCTTCATTCATTCGTTCATTAATTCTTTTTTTAGTTCGTTAATTCATTAATTTAAAAAGCCATCTATTCACTTCCGGTAGCTGAGTCAGCTGCTTCAGGGATATTTTCTATTCCAATTGTTCCCGTCTTTCACCAAACGGTTGAGCAGCTTCATTTATATTACAAGCTGCGAGCTGATCATCTTCCGTCTGCTTTTGCTAAAACAGTCTGACCAACAAACTCTTCTGTCTCATTTTGCTCACATGTCCCAAATAGTGGCAGTTGTTGACTTCTTTCGACCTCGAGAACGAGTGGCCTACCATTATGAGTATGCTGAGATACTCGCTTACTGAAATGAATAGACGGCAACCCCCCACCTCCGGTGTTATAAGTTGGTGGTATTATTATGATGAACAACTAGTCAGGTCGCGGAAAAGTCCTGATATCCTCATTATATTCTGATACGATAATGAATCTCGCACTATACATCCTTATGTGCACTGGAGTTCGAGTAGACGAGTGGGAAGAGACGAATAATTACTTCAATAACTCGCTATTGAAGCATATAACGAAATCAACTCCAGGCAAATTTGATTTTCTATGCAAAATGAAGTAGATTTTGTTCCTCCATTGATGGTCAGATTTGAATGTAACATTTAGATGTTTATTATACACAAATACACAAAGAAAAAAACTAGACTTTCGGTTGATGTATCAGTAGGGACGTATCGGGTCATATCTCACAACTCTTTCTCAAGAGTCTCGCTCATATCTCTCTATCGTCTTCCGGATCAGTGATATCTTTTGCAACGACCGATTTGCTTCACGCTAAGAAAAGTTTAGTTAATGATAACACATCTTTTTTTCATGCTTTTAAGCTGAATGCACGACTTTCTCTGCCACTCAAGCAGGTCACTAAAGTCTTGAATGCACATTAAAATGGCCACCATGTACTTCCACCTAAACGAAATCTACCACGTTGTGTTTGTATGCTTGCTGCACAGTTAAGACAGTTATCATCACACAGCCGTGTCTGATACCTGTTGTTTCTCATTTCCCTATTCAGTTTTTCTCACGGCCAAAAAAGCGTGAGTAGGATTCGCAGCCAGGTTACTCGCCTATGATTCCTTCAAAGTGAATAACTGAACATTACGGTCTTAGTAATTGTGCCCTAAACCTAACCTCAAAACTACCACCAAGGTATTAACAGTTGAAAGCAGAGCATTGGAGAACCAATCTGCATCATTGCAGTCGTGATGAAAGATATTACGCAGTTCGAGTCCATGAAGGCATAAGAAACGTCCACGTCCAAACCATTACAATTTTGCATCCTGATCACACATTAGTTTTCTTCACACTTTTGGATTTAATAAAAATAATTTAATAATAAAAATTTAATAATACCCAACAGAGAATGATTGAAACCATGCATCTGTGTTTCTCACTCTTTGCCGTGCCTCGCCACTATCCACGAAGCACAGTAAAAAATCTTATTGCCCTCCATCGATCATTGCTCTTCCACCATCCAACAAACCGATCAACTCGGTCATAGCCTGAATAATTCCTTCTATATCTAAAGCAATTCACTGTATTCTGTTGTTATTTTAGTTTTCTATTACCGACTTAAGTAGCAGGTTGTAATTAAACAAGGTAACAGCAACCTACGTGTTCTTTATCAAACCAAACCAAAAATCCTGTACTGTTGCAGACTTTTCATTCAAACTTAAGTGCTGTATAACTCGTCACAGAGAAAGTTTGCTATGAAAAGATGCGAGACGTTGCAAATCTTGTTGTCGACTAATGAGCAAATCAGAACTCATCGTTACGATATAGAAGTTCATTAAACATAGTCACTAATAAACCATTTTTAAACATTTGCGTAAAATCTGCCTATACTTTGGTAACGTTTTCTGGAAGTGGAAGCATTTCCCTTCGAGGACATCTCTGGCACAACGCTGCATTCGTGGTGATTTGCAAAAGAATTTAAAAAGTTTCTGCCCGTCAATTTTTGTCTTGTAATGCTGTCCCAGATAGTTGATAAGGTTCGCAGGCCTTCCTAATGAAGGTATTTCTTGTTGTACACATAATCGAAATTTTTATTCGCTTTGCAAGCCAGCACATTGCTTAAAATTCGTAATGTTCGCTCATTTCAATATTTTGAATTTTAATACTATGACGTTCAAACTGCACTGACGAAGAAGCGGTTCGCTTTCGGAAATATTCGCATTTAATTTTTTCCGTTACAAAACGTTATGATCAACGATGCTTTCCGTTCATATTCGTGATTCACAGTCAGCCACCAGCGAACTCGGTGAGGCTTGGTAGCTATTATTCACGCGATAATAATCTTTATTTCCTAATAGCTTCAGTGTATCTTTGAGGCGATCTAACTCCAAAACATAATCGTTCCTAACGCGGAAATGGCAGTGTTGGTCCTCGTTGAAGGCATCACCACTGCCAATGAATTTGCTGGGAGATTTAAAATCACCGAAAAGTTATCTGGGCTAGCTTTCAGTGAAGATTAATGAGACATGCTGAAAGATTAGTTGCAGATATGTCAGTACAGAAATCTATCCTCAAGGCTGAATTAATACAGAGCTTAAGGAGCATCGAATAAATTCAAGCTGAATTACTTTGTTTGAACTTCATTTAATCGTTTTCCCAGGTATTTTTGTCGTAAAAAATGAGTCTTCAGTTAGCACGTAATGTTTCATAATCTATCACACTCAGCAACTGATCATAACAGAGTAGGTATTGCAGAAAGCTGAGACACAGAACAAACATGTTTGACAACTTTTCTGCGGTTGTGAACATGAATATTATATCGAGTGCCATTATTCTAACATCAAATAAGTGAGAATTCAGTTATGTTTTGTCCGATGAAATGTCGAACTCGTAGTAGAAGAAACTTTCAACAGGGGCAGTACTGCATTTCTTTAAAGCTTTATTTGAATATGCATCAAAAATAAAAACATTTTCTAGTTCTCCAACAGAAAATGGCTTTAGGCACCATCGATTTATGAACTTCGTCATTGAGAAGTAGCTAACATTACACTATAGAGAGTTAATTGTACTTAATCATCTAGTTTAAAATGAAATAGTACTGTATATACAAAGCTCATTCAAACAAAAATCACTATTAGCTGTTGTCGATTAATTATTTGCGTCATGAGCAGAGCGTGAGCTTTCATTGCTTAGATTTTGCTACAATTAAAAACATAACTTTCAGTAAAGGAAAGAATGAAATTGAATGAAATATAATGCTGGCTTTTATATTCTTTTGTTTATTTTCGTGTTAGTCATGCCTTTAAACATTTTTGATGGTCGTTTCCTTGTATTCCTCGTGAGAAATAACCCGCTTTGATTCGATCTGCTCTTTTTATTTGTAACAATAAATTAAACCTTGTATTACTGGGCAAAATTTTAACGGTTAACTTTTGTCATTGAAGGCTTCACATACTCGGTTGATCTACCGACGTACCTTAGGATTGGTAAAAGTCTGTTAAGATTTTTATTCCCTGTAGCATTAGTTGCACCGCACAGTGGGTGCTATGAATTCCTGGGAAAAATGATTCACCGACCTGTCTGTGAGGTAGTTAGCCTTTCCCATCGTGTTATGCCTAGAAAATCTCTCGTCAAGCCATTTTTTGTTTACATAATGACATCGGTGTGTGTTCTTTGTATATCTTTACCCTTATTAAATTTTAACTTTAATTGAAACATATAGGCCAAAAGAAATTTGCGATCTCTTTTGTTGTTGCCTGCAGTCTTTTTATTTTATTACTAGCTCCTTAGTTTCATTTGATGTATTTTTCACACACTCGATGTAACTTCATGAAAAACACCATGACGCAGTTTATTAAGACATAACGCAAAAAACTATGGTAAATAATGTGATTGGATTGGGTTTTGCGAAACTTTTTTCGCGGTCGGAGGTTTTCAAAGTTTCGTACGTTTTTTTTGTTTTCCACCGCCATGGTAGGTTTGAAGTCAGAAGACCTTT